AAGTTGCCAAGTATGAAAAACAGCCATCCAGTATGTTGTGAAATTCTGCCCATGAGGCTAGTTCCTGGTTAAATGTCTTTTGCTGTCAAGCCCCATGCAGCTGGACAAGATCAAGGAAGAATAGCATAGACCTTAGTAAGATGTCTTTATGCTAGAATCAGGAGTAAATACATAATATTGGAAAGTGCAAGAGAAACCAACCCTTGTTTATATTAAGTTCATTATGGTGGAGTCTCTTTGAAAGATTTGAAACATTTCTTCCCAGGTCTCCTGCCCCCTGGGCTAAGTTACCATTTATGGGATAAAAGCCGGAAAATTAGGTTGAGTCAGTCATCTGTTAATGAACAGTACAAATGTTATGCAAACCTAGTCATCTACTTTTCCCCATCTTGCATTTTGTTAGAGAGATCTAAATCCCAAGCCATGATGTTCAGGGTTTAACTGGGGAAGGGTTCAAAAATATGATCCCACCACCACCATATATTCTGAATGGTACAGTCTTTGGAAGATTGCACCATTCTTTTTAAAAAATGCAGATTGGACTATTCTACCCCACTAATATCTATCTATATGCTGTTTATCTATCTATATGTAGTAGCATAAACAGGGAACAAATCCCACACTCGCTCACACTGATGATGTTATCTAGTCAGGTAATGAAATGTCTGCAAGTAAACAGCCAAACTCAAAGAGCTCCATATCTATCCATCCATCCATCCATCCCTTTCTCTCTCTCTTCCATTCTGTCCATTCTGTATAAGTGTGTGCGTGTGTGTGCGTGCACACTGTGCTCAGTTGCGACTTACACTGAACCAGTAAACTAGTATATGCAGTGAGTGCTGGAGTCCTGGGAGGACCAGTGGCATTGCAACGGTAGGTTGCCATGTTGTCACTGGGAGTAGTAGTCAAGACCAACTCCTTGGAAACAATATTCCCAGATGAGGCTGAAGATGTTCCTTCCCTTACTAATTTGATATCCTGTGGAAGCAATGCATATTATAGTAAGCATAGTGGAAAGACAGCACTCAAGACACTCTTCAGCTGGCTCTCAGCTAGCTCAGAGCAAATAAATCCACACTGAGAAAAGGAAGAAAGAACCTTCTGCAGGGACAAGGATAAGAGGAATATTCCTTGATCTATCCAGTATAATGTCACATCATTTTCAGGAGCTGACCCCTTAAGAGCTCTGGTTCGGAATAGGCTTCCCATTGACGATACTGTGCATATAATAACCAAAGTTATTCTGGACAGCAGAGATATGAAAATCTCAGTTATAGAACTGGAAAGCTGTCAATAGTTTGAGAATGCTGGGCTCATATTCAAACTCTGCATGATTGGAGGCAACAAAGGAATAAAAAAAAAAATGCACGGAAGTCACAGGAAACAATCAAAAGAGGTTTCTTAGCAAGGATGGGCCCTGACCCCCCAGACAGCCATCCAGGACACAGGGGCCCCTTCAAAACTGCCTTTTCTCTCCAACCTTGGCTAAGCACATCCCCAGATTTTTCACTCACTTGCTTGCCCAGGCAAGACTTCGAAAGTCCGCTCTGGTGAGAAGAGGGCTGTTGCTGTACACGTATTCCTCCAGCAAGTGTGCACGTCACCTTCAAATACAAAAGTAACCTTGGTTTAGGAAAACTAAGTATGTTTGGCTATGCTAATGCAAAAATTATCTCCAGAGAAGGTAGACTGGTGGGCCCTACCTTAAACTCTGACCTTCAATCAAGCCATACTTAAATCATTGATAAAGCTTAGATTGCTGGAGGTGGGAGGGGCTGGCCAAACAGTTATAGAACCCTTTCCCAGCATGCAGTTTATTTTCTTCTGCTAGAACTTTTTATCTAAGTCTGGCTCAAAGAAAAGTGCCTGCAGGAGGAACTGATAATAGGAAATAAGCTTCGGGCAAGGGAAAGTTTGCAACTTTCACTCATGGCCCTCTTTAAAATCAAGCACTCAGCTTTGCCTTAGACTGATTAGAGCTGACCTGAAATGTAAGAAGTGGGTCAATAATTGTCATTCTAGGTCTGACCTGGAGTACTTTACAGCAGATGGATTATCCAATCAATTCTGGAATGGAACAGCACACAAGCATCACGTTAAGCCTTGGTTTGCTTCAAGCATGACTTGTTGAATGAGCAGAGACGTTCATTGCTCATTGGTCTAAACCAGTGTTTTTCAAACTTGGCAACTGTAAGATGTGTGGACTTCAACTCCAGCATGCTGGCTGGGGAATTCTGGGAGCTGAAGCCCACACATCTTTAAGTTGCCAAGTGTGAAAAACACTGGAATAAACTATAAACCATGGGTGAAGGCTTTCACGGCCGGAATAGGATGGCTGGTATGGGTCTTCCAGGCTGTGTGGCCATGTTCTGGAAGTTTTGTTTCCTAATGTTTTGCCAGCATCTGTGACCGGCATCTTCAGAGGACAGGAACACAGTTCTCTCTGTCTGTGCTCCTGCCCTCTGAA